TCTTCTTCTTCTTCTTCTTCTTCTTCTTCTTCTTCTTCTTCTTCTTCGTTGCAGCCTTCCCCAGCTCGTCCATGGAGGGCTTCCCTTGCACGCCCGACGCCGTGTGCAGGAACACGCCCAGTGGGGAGCCCAGCGTAAAGAGAGCGCTCGGGGTGAAGGACAGTCGCTTTTCCTTGATGATGTCCCAGGAAATCACACCTTCGCGCCGGCGTTTTCTGACGATGAAGACCTGCAAAAATAAACACATCCAAATATTGTACCGTCATCCCAACAACTCCTGGTGGCCCCTTCTATCTTTTGCTTGCAATGTCTTGCCTACCCCGCCTCCCAGCGAATGGCCCAGTAGGAAGATCTGGCCCTTGAACTGTGGATGGCATTCCTGCCACTATTTTCGCAGGAGCCCAGCAACGGCCCAAGCCGTCCCAGGTCCAGCCCATCTGAAACACCCGTCCCTTTGGCTTTGGATATCTTTGGATCCACATGGGTGGCCCAGCCAGAGCTGGTCCAAGGCTTTTCCACATATATAACATGGCTGAGTCCCTGCTGACTTTGGAGCTCTACAGGAGCTGATTTTGGTCAGTCCATATGGCTGTCCACATCCGGTGCCGAGATACCATCTGTGTCTCTCCCAAGCTGGCCCCAACACCGTCCTTGAACCTTGCCACGGTTCTCTCAATGCTGGCGCTGGTGGCGGCTATGACCTTGGAGCGCTCCTGCCAGCAGAACACCCAGCAGTCGTGGTTGGTTGAACAAAAGTCTACAACATATCCTGCTAGGATAGCAAACGACCCCTGTTCGTACGTACGGTCTGAACGCCATTTGCCACACAGAAGCCTACTGCATTGACACACACACACACACACCATGGTCGCTGTGTCGGGGTACTGGCGCCTGCATGAAAGCCAAACCGTCCACAAGGGAGAGGTTGGCAAAGTCTCTCACCGCGGAAAGGGATGGCAGGGTGATGCTGCTCAACTGCTGATCCATCTCCTCCCATAGGCACCGTGTCGTAAGCTGGCATAAGTGTCCGGCGTTTCGGCCAGTTCCATGGAAAAGGCGTGGGGGAGAAAGGCAAAACACCGTTTTCTGGAGCACCCGCTGGCCGCAGGGAGGGGACCGCTGAAGCGGATGCACTTGGCAAAACAACAAAAATGTATCTATATAACCCTGCATTTCTCGAGATTCTCATCTCGTCAATCATCATCATCTGCCCTCGCAATTTATTGATTTGTTGCTTTCCAAACTGATGAAAACATCAATGTATTTCTCAGTTTGTTTCTCCCCTCTTCCCTCCTCAGAATGCACACTCTGCCACCACTCGGACACCAAGACCTCAATCTTCGGGCCCGAAGCCACAGGATCCTCACCTGCGAGGTTCATAAAGAGCATAAAGGAATTTATCTTGACCTGAGGGATTCTTGTTTTGGATCTTGATGTAAACTGTACACTATTATCTCCAAATAATTCCGCATGGTTGCAGTATTCATCAGTCAACATTACTCAAAAGAGTAGACCCCTTAGGACCCGCAAATCCCTTGCCCTGCAGTCTGGCAGTACGAACAGTTTCATGGAAGCTCCCGGGGGTCCAGGGCCAAATGCCCAGTTCATGTTGGTTTCGTGCGCGTGTTGCTTGCGTGCGTCAAAAACACATTCCAAAACCCGCAGCCACCTGCATGCACACGCAGCTCGGTTCCACCCTCAACGCCTTCTTGCCATCGGCCATCCTTCTGGACAAAGCCACACAGCTTAAGCTGGGCGTGGAGCAGCGTACGCCGCAGCACCCCAACGTCGTGCACCAGGCCACCCCAGCGCCTGGAGCCAAGCGAAAGGGCGAAGAATGATAGATATATATATATATATATAATATCTAGAACCCATCTGACCTCTGTGTTCATAGAAATGCATCAACTGCTTTTAAACATGTCACACTTAAGTAAAACTTTCACGGATGGATGGACCTCAGATTAAGCTCTTCTAGTACAACGGGGATTATGATGAAATCCTGGTTGTATAAACGAACTTCCCACTAGGATGGTACACACAGGTTTCTCCAACCTTGCTCTGTGGCGGAGCGAGCTCTTATTTCACCGACTACTGCGATAAAGAAAGCTCTTGGATGTGAAGTAAAGATCTGAAGTTGCATTAATTTTGCGGCACTTGCAACCCCACATCGGCGCTGTCGAGCCATTGACTTCTGAGGCCGCCGTTTTCATCACCGACCAGCGTCCACCCCGCGCGGCCTTTGAGCGAACTTCTCGCCGATTCCATGCACGACCACCACGATCTGCCCCACCTTCTCCTGGGATGTGCCCCGAAAACGGCCACGGCACGGGCCGCCGATCTGTGTCAGATGTGTGGGTTCCAACTGGTTTGAATCAAAGAACTGGTTTTTGCTGTGGTCGTTGTGGGATGAAACTCGACATGGCCTCTGCTCTTGTTGTCGGCAGCCTTCGCTCCGGCCCCTTCCCCCAAAGTTACAGGGAAAGCCTCCAAAACGAGCATTTGATGAGAAACTCGCTACACAAGTGATAAACTAGCTCTTTGTGCGAGACTCTGCCAAAAAGCGCCTTAAAGTGCAACCTTATTTTGCCAAAGGATCAGATTTTGTGGCACTGCGTGCAGATTTCGTGGGCGGGAAGGGGGGTGTTGGGGGGCAGCGCCTCCCAATTAGTGCACAAAGCCACGGGTTTAAGGATCGTGCGTGCTACATTGGCCAGAGCCCGCAGAATAGATTGAGAATCTAGCTGTCAATCACGGCAACTGGCAACAATACATCTGAATGGGGGAAAACAACAGCCTCAGCAGTCAGCAGGAGTCACAACAGCGGCCACTTGCAGCAGCACAGTGCCCACCACACATTGTGGCAGGTTGCTCATAGAAGCCAGGGAAAGCCAACAAAAGGGGCAACATTTTTTTTCAACCCTAAAACATTTTTTCCACCCTAACCTTTTTTTTCAACCCTGCAACATTTCTTTTTCACCCTCGAACATTGTTTTTTGACCCTGCAACATTTCTTTTTCACCCTCGAACATTGTTTTTTGACCCTGTCACATTCTTTTTTAACCCTTGTACCAAGACCCCTATTTCGCATACCCAGACGCGTCCTTGCTCCGACTACTTCGGCCACGAGCCCCTAGTAAGATACTCCGCGTACTAAAGTTGCACTACAAAGTCGCCAGTTCTCATCTTCCGCGGGCACCCGGCGAATCGCACTCTCGCCTGCATTTCGCGCACTCGACACGCACGATCTCC